CTCTCTCCCCCTCCCCCCTCTCTCTCTCTCTCTCTCTCTCTCTCTCTCTCTCTCTCTCTCTCTCTCTCTCTCTCTCTTTCCCTCTCTCTTCATCCGTGCTCACGCGAGTAGTACACAGCCGAGCCAAGGCGTTGTTACAGCGTGCAACTGCCTCTCACGTCGTTTTGTTCACTGAACTAGTTCCCTCTCCTCTTACCTCGCCGATTCATTCCATCACTACCAAGCTCACAATCTTACCGCCACCACTACCACAGCATGCAGCCAGCACGCCGTCGTGCCCACAGCAACGTCATCGAGATCACCATCGCGCCAGGGAGACAGAGCGAGAGGTGGAAGTTGTGCACGAGAGAGAGGACGAGCGTTTAAGTGCGGATTCCACCGGATCCGTCGAATCGCCCGTGGAATTTCGGCCGGGAGGAAGCGCGAGCGAGTGGTAGTATCCTCCCCCTACGTGAACACCGCCGTGGGATAATTACCCCGGGAACAATTAAGATCTCGCGGCGCGATTTTCGCAAGAAAGTCACGTTACGCGGCGGAAAGCACGGTGGAAATGCCGCTTTATGGGAGCGCTTTATGGTACGTAGTCGCCGAAGACGAAGGAAGAGAAAGCCGTGAGAGGGAGGGAGCGCGCGATGCAGAAGAGGAGAGCGAGATGCAGCGACGTGGAGCGCGCAGACCTCGAAGTACGAGAAGAGAAACACGGACCGGCCGCCGCATACCTACACGACGCGTAATGAGAACATACCAGCATCGTTCGGCCTGCTATCTGCTATCAAACGGATACCACCGGGGCCCAGCCGCGGACGAAGCGCGCAACGTGCCCCAAGCAAGACCCAAATTTATCTACGCGCATCGGGCCGCGCCGCGCTCTTAAAAATCTCACTCGCGATATTTCATTGCGATCATCGTAATTGAGATCTCGGCTTTTCAGCTATTCGCGCCGGGTTACCGTCGACTCGCTGCGGATGTGTTCGATTGATCGGCCCCGCCGATTGCCGCCGCCACGTCGAGTCTTAATCATAATTCCCGATGATGATTTTCGCGCGCGGAGCGCATCGCCGACGCCGAGGCGAAATCGCGCCGTTCAAACTGTTGTTGTTGCTGTCCCGCCGCTACGCATTCGATCGCAATCGAATTTTGACAAAGTACCATCGCGGAAACATGGCGCGTTAATAAGAGCAATTAGTCGTCGGAGCGGAGTAACGTTCTAAACGTGCTCTGGGCTTCTCATCGAACAGCAGGGGAATTCGGAGCCGGTAAAAAGTTTGGGAAAATGACACGCGCACACCGGCACACACACACACACATACACACGCGCTATTCTAAAATTGTATTAAACCTTCTATTTTATTATCTGAAATTTTCTTCTTGAGCGTTTCACCAGGCTCCTTTCGATTTACACACAAATTTGCGTTTCGAACGCGCGCGTCGCTCTCTAATAAAACCGACGCGTCGACCGTGAAACAATGTACTTCCTAACGACGATACCGTTGGTATGCCTTGTTCTTCGCGCCTGCATCTTCTTCCTGTTTTTCTGTTTCCCTTCGTATTTGCGGCGATCGCGCTCGTCGAAAACGCCGTTAAATTCAGCGCCGCGCCGTCGCGACGATCGCGCGCGCTTCATCTCGTCCTCTCGATCCTACACTCGCCGACTTTTCTCCGCGCGCAGGATCGCGCCTGCGACACGAATCGCGAATCTAGCGCCGTCATCCCGCTGTCATTTCCCGTCGACTCGTTCCCGGCGACTTTTCTTAATCAGCGCACGAGTAACGCGCGATACGATAAAAACTTACGTAAAAGGGGAATGGGTTTGTATAATTTGTGTGTGCCATAAAGATATATATATACATACATACATATATATATATATATATATATATGTATATATATATATATATATATATATATATATATATATATATGTATATAACCCGAAAGAAGTTCCAAAATGAGAAGTTCCTCAAAATATGATTAGGTGTCCCCAAATTACACATTATACATACTTCAACGATGATCTCACGTGCCTACAACATTGAATAGAATCTGCATGATGGAGAAAGTCTTGCTGCTTAAACGCTTGATTGAAATTCTCTCGAAAAATGAGGACCCAAATATTTTTTAATAGACTGTGCTCTCTGAGGAGCCTTAAAATTCATTCAAGAACAAAGGACGATAGATAAAATGAGCCGATTTTCGCTTAAAAAAATGCAATGCAAGTTGCACTTCATCACGTAAGTTATACGTAATCTTATATGTTCGCTAAATACATAAGATTTTAATCTATCTAAAGACGGTTTTAGACGGATAAAAATGCGTCGTATACAGCGACCCAGAAACAGTAAAATCGCATGTATAACTTGCGTTACGCTTTTTAAGCAAAAATCGACCCATTTCATCCATCGTCCTTTCTGCATCGACTTTCCGTAAAATATGTACGGAATAATTCCGGGACACCCCGTATATGCCAGTAGAAGCGGACAGGATCGGTCCGAACCTGATGTGTAGGATTATTTCAACCTCTACAACGCCGGCATCTCCTCGCGCAAGAATGCGACACGATTTTTGACAGACACCCAGATATTTTTGGTATTTTCGTATGTACTACTGCACAGGTGACGCATATACGAGTTTACTCACAACCTACAGCACGCACGCATGCAGACACGCACGCAATCGACTCGCTCGGGCCGCTCTGTCGCGGCTGAATCGCGCGGTATTCGAAATTCCTTACAAATGTTTGGCTTTTAGTAAGAATCAGCGATACAGTTAAACGGCAATTCCACATGCACATGTGCCGCGTACGCATTACTATTGGCTACCGCATACACGTACGCGTTTCGCACGAAATGTCTCTCTCTCTCCCTTCCCTAACGCTCGCCGCCGTCACGGTTAAACGTCTTTGAGATGAACATCGTCTCGCTCTTAAAGACAATCCCGCCGGCTGCAGAATCGTCTTCGTGTGCGTATAGAGTTTCAGCGACAAACGACTTGGCGACTTCTTGCGCTTCGCGCTGAGAATCGTCGTGAATAGATCGCGTTGTGATATATTAATAGGATCCGAGTTCGCAATTATTCGTTAGTTAGTTCGCACAACCACTTTTTGATCAGAGTTCGTGGAGCATTGTGTCGTCGATGAAGTGTGCGATGAGTGCATGAGGGATGGGGTTGAATGGGACTGAAAGCTTGACACGCGTACGAGTAACGAGTTGCAAGGTTCAAAAGTCTCAAGAGTTTACGAAATTGAAAGCGTCACGATCTCGGGAGGTTCTGGTCTCGCGAGAGCCAAACTCAGAGAAAAATACATGACGGTGGTAACTATATAGCTGACAACTATATCATGAGTTTTGTATGTATAATCAATGTATATATGTATGTATTTTGTTATTTCAGTTTACATGCTAAGAATAGAATATGTAGAATTAATATATACAGTTTAATGAACTGCTTTGTACTTGCTGCGAATAAAGCTGAACAATTACGAGAACTATACATATAGTTCTCCTGGTCATTTAGCTTTAGTTGTAACAACTGCAACATAGAGTTTATTGAATTGTGTGCATTGATTCTATATACAAAATTTACATATTTGTCACCTGTCATACCCTGAGAGAGAATTACTTGAAAATTTACTTGTGATATTTAAAGTTTATTTCACAGAAATAAAGTTTATTTCACAGAAATAAATTTTGTTTCTCAGAAGTAAGCTTTGTGTCCCAGAAATACCTTTTCAAGTATTGAAAAATATTTGTTTCTCAGGATAGTCGCTATCATCATTTTGGATCTTTATCTGAGTGCCGTTCCGACTGACTCTGCTTGTCGAATGACTGTGCGCGATGGAATTCCACTACTGCTGATAAACAATTCCGACGACATGACGACGACGACGACAATGACGATAGTCGTGAAATGCGTGAAAATGGGACACAAGTTAGCAGCGTTTTCAGCGTTGACTTTTATTTGTGAACAACTTGGACTCAGCGTCACTGTTAATCAGCAGCTACAATGATGATCATGACGATGAGACTCAATAATGTCGTTGAAATGATAATGTTTTGGCGACATCCACGAGTGGTGCGGTTATCCGGGTGACGGAGCGACGATTGTCCGACCGTCGCGGACGATTCGCGGCTAGGAACCGGAAACGGGTACGGACGAGGGTTTCCTTGGACGATCTTCGCTAGTGCGACTCGTTGGATTCATCGTAGGGCGGATTGTTTCGCATCAACCTATCTTTATCCATCGATCGATCGAGTATTCGAGGGCTGCCAACCACCTGAAAAACGACAGGAATGAGTCCCAACGTTTCAGTCGGCCAAATTGCGAAGAGCTGGCTGTTATATTCACCGTTTCTTATCCATCTCCGACTCGGTAGCGAAGATATAGCTTCTCTGCGTGGGATCCGGCGGTTGCAGCTCGAAAGCGTGTTTCCTGCCACCGGAACTCGGCGCACTGCTGTGCACCCTGAAGCCGTGCAGACACGCCACGCCGAACGCCTTCTCGGCGTTGGCGTCGTCGTAGAAGTAAAGCGCGGCGTCCTTCAGCACGCAGTATCGCCGGGACCAGCCGGTGGGCGAGGAAGTCTTCCGTGCGTGTTCCTGCTGCTTGCTCAAGTAACCGAAACAGTCTGGCCTCTGAATAGCGCACGCGGCCATCTCCCTCATCCTCATCGAAGCGTCCAGCCAAGTGTCGATCTGAAGATACATCAAAAGAGCCGCGTAAATCTTGCACAGAGCTCTCGGGCGAAGAGATTTTATCAAGATCTACCGATCTCTATGAAAGTGCTTGATCAGACGTCTGTTTGACGCGGTACATTTTTTAAGAACAGTGATTACTTCTAGATTAAAATAGGTGGAAAAGAGGTCGGCCGGCCGCGCTATCGATTCGTCTCGCCATACCTGATTATTCCTCTCCACGGCTTCGCGTATAACCGTGATCCACCGAGCTACCGCATCTTCAGTATCGCCCGCCAGTCGCAGGGTCGGTGCACCTTGTTTCTTTATCGCGAAACTATTTACTCTCAATTCAGGCGTCTGCTCCACGTCGTACTTGAGGAGCATCACCGCTCCTACCGGTTGCGAGTCCTGTCGTGACAAGCATTAGCATTGAGTGGAAGCAAACTCTAGATACGCGCGAGCATTTTCTCAGCTTTAGATATTTCGAGCTACCTCACTAACGTTTATCCTTAAGCTCGAAAAGATATTTTATTGGGAAATACAGTTGAAAACTACGACATCTCCGTGAAAAGATCTCCATAGGGAGGTGGTCCTCTCGACAAATCTATAAAACAAAGTCGCCAACTTTCGCTCACCGAATCAGTCTTATAGCAGTACAGGCAGTTGTCACGACGAAGAGCGAACCACCTGCGTACCCACTTCTCCACGCTGGACGTGGCGGACCTTCTCCACAAATAGCCGGAGCAAAGGGGCGCCTCTTCCGCGCTCTCCTTCGCTCCTGCGCGCGTGACGCGCGGCGCCAGCACGTTGCAAGTCCTCGCCACTTCCAGCTCCAGGACGTCCGTGCCGGAGTGCGCTAGTCTCACGACCTCCGAGTGCGTGGCGTCCATGACGCTTCTGCCGTTCACCGACATGATGATGTCGCCAACCTCGAGTCCGGAGCTCTCCGCAGGCGTGTCTGGCTCGATCGCGGAAACAACCACCGGCTTGGAACCATGAATGCGGAATCCGAATTCACCGCCAGCTTCTCGTTTCACGATCACCCTCTTGTCGCTCTCTGCGAACATGAGGTACAGCTAGAGTTTCGCGCGCGAACGACAATTTGACGAAGAGCGTCCCGACTAGAAACTTATCCAATAGTCCTGATCGGCTTGATCGTAATCTGTTTGTGTAAGGTGATGTTATCGCGCGGATGCTGATAAATCATGAAGCGCAACATGATAATCAGAACGTTATTAATAATAATTACTGATAGTTAAAGCTGTATTAACAATTGGAACCCGACAGAACATCGCCCTGTATAATCAGATAACTGATCGGGTTCTCATCAATCTGATGAGAACTATGGGATATATTTCTAGTCGGGTTAATTAGACCGAGTCATGCACTCGATATCCTAAATAAATAAATCGCTCGATAAATTAAAAATAAAACAAGAAAACAAAAAGATAAGAAAACCAAGTAATTGCGAATTTTTGTATCCTTTTGTTTTTCGATACCCGCGTTTATCCTCAAAGATTTTTCTATATTTATATATATTTATATATATTTATAAATATTTATAACAAGAATATTCTCTTCATGATTTTATGGGTGGGGATTAAAGATATTTGACACACACACACACATATATATATAAAACACGCCTTGATATCATTCTTCTTAGTCGCATTTGATATGCAGGTCTATTCCATCGCGTTGGACGGATTATATTTAGACGAGTAGCATTAAGTAGGCGGACAAAGAGAATCGTACGCGCTACGGTAAATTGTTTAAAGCCCCTCGCTTTTCGCAGTCACGCCACGTGGTATCGAACGGTCAACAAGAATAGTGCGACACGATTATGTTCACGCGAGCACAATCGGGCAAGCAGATCGCTCGCTCCAGATCGGCAGAGATCGAAGAGGCGGAAGAAAAATGGATCGACGTAGATCCACGCAAAAAGACACGCGCGCGCGAATATATATCCTACGTCAGTGTACTATAAACGTAGCCGAGCGTATTTAGGGCCTCAGACCTTTTCTCTCTGCTCTGTTGTACAGGTAGAGAGAGAGAGAGAGAGAGAGAGAGAGGAAGGGAGAAGGGAGAGAGAGAGAGAACGAAAGCGTTCGTGGTCGCGCGCGCGCCGACACTATCGAGCCGCCACGTTTTATTTCTGCACTATTGCAAGCTTATCCGTTTTAGTCCGCGCTTTGATCATGAACGTGAAAGACGCTGGAAAAAGCGCGACTTGATTGTGCGCGTGAACTTTATACGATATATACGTGTATGGCGTCATAATCGGCGCGCGATACACCTGCACGGTATGGAGAGCGTTCCAGGTTCACCGTATGATCCGTTCATCTATGGACTCTTTGACCTATTTTAATTCGATTAAAAAAAGGTGATATCAGCGCGCCGAGATGTCGCTCGTAAATGTCGATAATGCCGCGTTCCGTCAATGAAGGGAGAGACCTCTCGACTAAAATTTGCAAGAAAGAGAGAAAGAGAGAGAGAGAGAACGCATCGTGTGGCGCGAGCTGCGTGTGTACGCGCGTGGGTGTGCGTACTCGACGCTGACAGATGCGTACTAATTAAGACGACCGACTCTTAGTTACATCTTAACGATACTTGGCCGACACTCGATTGTCGTCGGCGTATATTCTCTAGTCGGGTTTCAGACCCGAGATTCAGACCCGCGTTCCCCGTCGCGGATATCTACGTCGTCGTTAAATTGGCGCCGCGCGCTGCTCTCATGAATAGAGATCAAATCATTAATACAGATTATCCCCGTTGGCTTCCAAGTCGCCAATAACGCTCGCTTTGGCGAGGAGCTCACGTCGCCGCGATTCGCTTTCATGTCGGGACGAGAAGTTTGGCGTATCGGATTGCAATCGGGCAGTTTAACGAGCGAGCATTCATCTTTGGTAGCTTTTGGCGGAAAAGATGCGAGTACCGATGAGAAAACCGGTGAAGGCGTTGCGACTTCGCGTCGGCGAAACTCCGTTACCTGTCGTCGTCACGCCGAATTTCGCCAAAGCTTGACCCTCCCTACACCAGACTCTGAGCATACACTTGAGCAACTCTTCCAGAGCCTGCTTCAATGTCACGTCCTTGTCCATTTCTGTTGCACACTCGGAACCAGCGGAGTCGCACACCATCGTCGCTCGCTGATCGATCGATTGTAAACTTCAAGCAATTAGAACTTGTTAGGCGCGAATTAACTGTCGCTTCTCCACTTCCACGGTATCGACGCGAGAAAGAGAGAGAGAGAAAGAGAAAAGAAAGGGAGAGAGAGATGGAAAGAATTGCCTCCTCTTCCACGCACGGCTGTCGCAACCCTTCGCACCGGAAGACGCGTTCGCGGATAAACCTCACGGGTGCACACAGGAAACGGTGAATCCGTGAAGACGATGCCTCGAGTCGGCAGCCTCGCGGAATGCGACTCGGCGCCCTGACCCACTGACTGCCAGCCAAAAGCTACTTCTTCGAGTCGGCACCCCGCCGAACCCCTCATCCCCCGCCGCCCTCGCGAGCAGGTCGCGAGCGATGGCTACGCTTCCCCGTCGACTTCGCGCGGGCACAAATCACTCCTCCCTGGCTCCTCCGTCTTCCTTCTCTTGCCACAAACGAGTTGAGCATGAACGTCTCGCTCGACGGCCGCTTGCCGGCTGGATTATATTTAGACGACGGAGTATTACGCGGTGCTTATTTAAAGAATCGGGAAGAACGCCACTCTCTCTCTCTCTCTCTCTCTCTCTCTCTCTCTCTCTCTCTCTCTCTCTTTTTTTTTCTCTCT